CCATCAGAAGCCAGTATGTAGTATTTGACAGTCACTACCACTAGTTAGACCAGTCACTACTATTGTTTTGGATAATGATATATACAAGTAGTGCAAGGTAAGATAATTATTGGTACTGAGACAGCATTCAGTCTGACAAGAATACATTTACTCATTCATAAAATTAGCTAGATAAGGGGTCGTCCATTTGAAACAAGGGCAGGGTGGCAGCCTTTGAAACAAGGGCAGGGTAGCAGCCTTTGAAACAAGGGCAGGGTGGCAGCCTTTGAAACAAGGGCAGGGTGGCAGCCTTTGAAACAAGGGCAGGGTGGCAGCCTTTGAAACAAGGGCAGGGTGGCAGCCTTTGAAACAAGGGCAGGGTGGCAGCCTTTGAAACAAGGGCAGGGTGGCAGCCTTTGAAACAAGGGCAGGGTGACAGCCTTTGAAACAAGGGCAGGGTGACAGCCTTTGAAACAAGGGCAGGGTGACAGCCTTTGAAACAAAAATCTACACACAATGATTAGTGAAGAGCAAAACAAAAATGTATTGCTACATCACAAAAACAAATAAGAGGTGGAAATATATGAATAATTTTAAATTTTGTTATGCCATCTAACTTGCTACCCAGAATTTCCAATGTGCAACTTCTGAATTTTAAAGAAAGACATTTCAAGTTTTACAAATGTTTCATAAATTTAATTTCCTGACAATGTGGATGATAGTTTTGTGTTAGTATGTAAATCTGTTTCTGAATCACTCTGAATTCATGACTAAATATTTATATATTATTTTCTATTGCGTATTAGACAATATGTTCCTTCTCTGCACTGTGTGGCACGGCATGTGGACCAGACCCTCTCATTAACATAACACAAGGGAACAACGATAAATTTGAAATCGTTCCTTTGAAGACTTGCAACAGGGACGTGTACTCTCATTTACGCAAGTTGCATTCTGGGGGAGTCACTTCAGAAGTGGAGTTAATTCTAGCTCGTATAGGTATGTATATCTTGTGAGTTGATCCATTGCCACGTTTTTGAGAGTACTTTATTTCATATATACTTTTGTAAAGGTGTTTTAGAGCACCTGATCACCCAAGTGTATATTAAAAAAACTAGTTCCGTTCATGTAGCTCAAAATGATAAAACAAAAAACAAGTCATCCATAAAAGCGCACTGGTTGTAGTTCTCATTTTTTTTCATTTTTGTTAATTTCTGATGAGCCTGATTGATATTTCTATCTCATGCATCTGACAGGCTGCTTGCTTGATGTTTTAAATAATTACTAAAGTTAATTCTAGACCAAACTGACATAATATATCATTGCTACATCTTCTGATCAACATTTTTGGAAAAAAAATATGAGAAAAAATGAGAGGTTGATTTTGGTTACCATAGTGACCGAGAAGATATAGAGATGTGGCTGCCATAAATTAAATTTACTGTGTCTGTACTATAGCGTTGGCTTAGTCCTCGGTGCGTAGAAAAAGAACCAGAGTGGCGATAAAGGCAATATGGCTGCGCCTCATTACCTTGGTCATGTGGTTTGTGACGTGAAGGAAAATCTTGAGGTCATCGGGCTTCCCCTGACCTAGGTTTCTCCCTCCGTCTTTGGTTGAATTGCAGATTAATGCCTACAGTTCAAAATAGTCATTTTGACTGACCGGAGTATATGGTGGGTATGAACTATGTGAATAGGCAGGCTGAAAACCCTCATGTGGTTGTTGCACATTATGTGGCAGTCATAAATCATGTGACTGTCATAAACCATGTGGTTGTTGTACACCATGTGGCTTCTGTACATCGTGTGGCTGTCATAAATCATGTGGTTGTTGTACAACATGTGGCAGTCATAAATCATGTGGTTGTTGTACAACATGTGGCAGTCATAAATCATGTGGTTGTACAATGTGTGGTGGTCATACATCGTGTGGTTGTACATCATGTGGCTGTCATACATCATGAGGCAGTCATACATCATGTGGCTGTCATACATCATGAGGCAGTCATACATCATGTGGCTGTCATACATCATGAGGCAGTCATACATCATGAGGCAGTCATACATCATGTGGCTGTCATGAATAATGTGGTTGTACATTATGTGGTAGTCATTGTTGTGCATCATGTGGCAGTCATACATCATGTGGCTCTGATGAATGTGGTTGTTGTACCTTATGTGGAAGTCATACATCATGTAGCTGTCATAATGTGGTTGTACATCATGTGGCATTCATACATCATGTTGCTGTGATAAATAATGTGGCTGTACATCATGTGGCATTCATACATCATGTGGCTGTGATAAATAATGTGGTTGTACATCATGTGGCTGTGATAAATAATGTGGTTGTACATCATGTGGCATTCATACATCATGTGGCTGTGATAAATAATGTGGTTGTAGTACATCATGAGACAGTCATATATCATGTGGTTGTTGTACATCATGTGGCGGTCACACATGTGGCTGTCATAAATAATGTGGCTGTCATAAATAATGTGGCTGTCGAACATCATGTGGCTGTCATACATCATGTGGCTGTCATATATATCTCGCCTTTCTTCACAGGTTTATTTGGTAGAAATCACAGTGAATTAGAACGTATGTCAATATGTCCACTACATCGTGCAAAGCTTGGGGTTGGCTGGCGACCAAGATCAACCTATTGCTGTGTACCACTGGAACTGTCAGGTCACAAGTCGTCTACAATGAAAGGTGAAAATGACAGAAGCATAACTAGAAACCAGTCAATGAAGATACTGGAAGAGACTGATATGATTATTCCTCTTGGATCCTGTGAGTTGATTTTCAACTTTTACTGTTGTTAATGTTGTTATAAACAGTGTCTTCTACGACAGTGTATGGCAGAAATACGAATAATGGCTTCTACTGTGCAACTACATGATTAGGTTACATGACATTTTACTGAAAATTACAAAATTAAAAAAACTATAGTTTTTATATCGACCAGTGCCATGCATGTTATGTTTTGAAACATTGCCACATCAAACAAATTTATTTCCAATTGCAGCGTTCTCAATTTATTTTCTGTATTACTAAAATAAGTAATAATGGTGCATAAATTTATCATTAACCATAGGTAGGACTTGAAACATTTTAGACATACCCGTCAAAGAGCTGATGAAAACAGTTTAATTTGAAAAAAAAGCTAAAATCAACTTTGAGTAACCAAATTTATCAATGCTGTATTAAGGTAGTTTTGTTACACTGTTCAGGAGAGTCTCAACAACTATCCCAAAATACAGTTTTTCAAGAATTTTAGACCATTGTTGTCACCGTGTTGAAAATGCCTGGATGTCTACTCTTCAGAATATTTAGTTAAAACAAACAAGACGTAAATATATCATGTTCGTATCTGCTTTAAAATCCAGTCTCAGCTACTAGAATCTTCATAACATAGTCATTAATTGTTGGAATAATTAATGTTATGTTTAATTCATCCTAATAGCTATTTGTAAAGGTTGCCGGAATAAGCTTTCTCTCCAAGCCTCCTTGGAGAAGTTAACGGCTACAGCCGAGGAGGAAAAACATGTGAGTATGCACTTTAAATTGACTACTCCAGACTTTAAAACTCACTATTGTCTCTTCTGTGTTTTTATGTGCAATTTGTAAATACTGATAGGTACATCAACAGTGTACAAAATTAACTAAAAAAATCAGAGTATGTCAAAGTAAAACTGTAGGTCTTTCAACCGATATTTGGCAAACAGGTAATATAAATAAATAAAACGAGCAATATAATACCAAATATTTACTAACCATTCAGATACCATATCATGTACATGTAGTTGTCCAGGTAAGCGTCCACGGTCGGGCAGTGAAATCCGTGGATTAAAAGTGCTAATACCAAATTGTGTGTGACAACATCCACGAACTTCAGGACGAAACTGTAGGAATTTTGTTTGACGGCAACAGTGACGCTGACTTGGACTTTTTTGTGTTTTGACTTAGACGAAGACGGCAATGAATGTACTAATAGAGATCTGATTTTTTCCAAACAACTATGAACTTTCGTAATTTTTACTGTGTAAATTTGTAAAGTATTGTTGATCGTGTATGACTGTTGATGCGGTATTTGTCAAAACCTGGAAATAATTTTACGCGTGATGGGCGTGTTTGTCGGTGGGGAAATTCTAATTCGAATGATTCTTCACTGTCAATTTTTATTATGTCTGGTTTATTTGTCACATTATAAAGCAATAAATTATTTTTGTTATACTTCTAATGTTTCATATTGTTCATTTATTTTCGTTTTATGTTTTCATTTGCCGTTCTATTCCCTGCCGCAGTTCGATCTGCGTGTTGTCAAGTATTGAGAATTCTCGTTTTTTTTTGTCGAGGATGTCTGGGAATAGGCCCAATTATTTGTCAATTTTTCATGTTCAGACCCTGGGCCCTTAGCCGAACAACTATGGTATATAAGCAATAATTATATGAACACTGACACATTGGACATATCTCATGCTTATTCTGCAAGCTTGATGCCAAGTAGAACCTATCTTTTTTGTGAGATCCCTTCCTTTATTCTGCCCATGACTTTCATAATACATTTCTAGCACAAAAATGATGATCAGCCATCTTAAATGTGTTATGATGTATATGTAAAAATACTAGACTTTGATGAATTTTTAGCACTAAAATGGCTGCCATTCAGCCATCTTGAATTAAAAGTTTAAATGAAATTGGCCCAGGCATGTCTGAAATACAGGCGCTGATAGATGGACGCACAGAGGTGAAATTATAAGTCGTGGTTTTTAGACTACATCCAGACTTGGACTAATTAATTTACTTTCGATTGTCAGACTGACAGCTTATCAGAACTCTAGGCTCGTCATAACTATTAAAGTCAGAGTGAGGTCTCTAACTAAGACTAACTTAATTTGAAATACTGATCTCAGAATTAACTATGACCAGTCAAATATTGCAGACCTTTAAAGTCTTTCAATTGAAATTTCAGATAAATATACAAGGAAT